CAATCCTGCCATCACGGGACCTTGCACAGAGCTTGCAGAATTTCATTTTGCAGACCTGTACACCATGATGACACTGGTCCAGCCTGTGGGTCTGTGTTTGTTTATTTAATATCCCTCGCGAAAGACAAGACTTCATATGGGGTATGACTACCGTGAAACGGAGCTATGTTATGAAAACAATGGATGAACAGTTGACTATTTCAGCTAAATATTTTCAGACAATTCTCTTGTTAAGTCACAGTTGTTCATTGTAAGTCAGATTATTTTTCATTATTTAAGTGCTCTATGACAAATCTGAAAGGAGCTTAAATGTTAGTGCAATATTGGGATATCTTTTACATGTTTCAGGTAGCTTGCTACAAACAATTCTGATTCAAACGGAATGTCACTTCTGGAAAACATTATATCTCAGTTTACCACGGTAATGTGGGAAGATTTTCCCTGCATAAAAAAAGAAATTAAATCCTTTGTGCCAAATGTATTTAGATTCTAGATATTTTTCATGCTTGTTGATACCAACCAAAGCTGAAAACTATTTACATAAGAGTGAATTAACCTGCATAACAAGTATCCCTTGGTCTTACTAGACAGAGTAACAAGAATTTATAGCAACCCAAGACATGAATCACGTTTCACTTAATTTTGCGTAGTGGTGATTTTGGAGATAAAAGTTTTCTATTATTAAGTGCAAATAAGATACCAGTAGTATTTTTTTCATGGGAAGAAAAGCCTTAGCTATGAATTCTCACCTGAAACAGCAGTTTTAAATTTGAATTAACATTAAAGGAATTAACAGTATTTGCTTTTAACTTCAAAGTAACTTCTGGTTAAGGAAAGAAACTGGCAACAAATAAATAAGGAGTAGCATTAATCCATGCCTGTATTCTCCAAAAACTCATCTCACAAAACTATCCTGAAAACCAGTAATTTTAGCACTGTACAGTTAAGATTTTGTCTAAAAACTCTCAGGTTGTTACTTTCACCAATCTAAAAAGCAGTACATATTTCAGAGGCAATTTTAACTTAATTTTCAAAATCTACCCTCAACAAGTGAGGCTACAAAACATTACATGATTAATATCTTGAAAACTGCCTGAGTTCAATAGGATAAAACACTGAAGTACTCCATTTGTCAAAGAACAATCACGATCTTCCATCTCCGATTCTCCTCCCACATAGCGTGGGAGGAAAATCCTGTAAACGTAACACCATAACATGGCAATGACAGAAATATCTTTTTTTTAATGTCTGTGACCTTTGTCCTGTAGAATAGAGACTGCACCACAGCCTACATTTTATATGTAATATACTCAAAGCTTTATTTCATGACAAGTAACACTTGTTAAAACTTGAATTGATAAAAACTCACCATTCTTTTCTCTGTGCTGCCCTAGTGGAGACGCTCAAACAAGTTTCGTGACTGATATAATCACAAAATCTACTACGTGCTCTTTTCTAGCTCTTACAATCGTTGTGCAACACATCGAGTTCAAAGCATTAGTATTTTCCCATAAAGTTGCCACCTAATAAGCTACATTTAAAAAGAAATCCAACTCCAATTCAGATTATTATTTGTGAAAAAAATCCTTTGAAGTTGAACTTTTTCCATGGAAAAAATATCTAATGCCTTTTTTGCTAATTGCAAAGCTTTGGTCTGTCTTTAAAATACAGTGCAATAGTTCAATTTCCAAATCCACTCAATCTTAAAATAATGAGTTCCTGATATTTTTCTCTTATTCAGTTCTTGACATTAATTTTACACCACAGCCTCCATGCTTAGTTTTCAGCTAGGAAAACTGATATTTCTCATTAGTACCTACACGCTAACATTGTGCTTTTGTTGACTCTGCAGTAGCTGTTACTCTTATTATACTGCAACATATGAGAATTAAAAAAATAAATAAAACCGGGGACACAAAACATGGATTGAAAAGTTAACCTTTCTGTCTCATTCATTTCCTTGTCCACTTTATCTATCACATAAACCACCAAATTTAGGCAGGTGTTGGGAAACGCTTTTCAATGGGAAAAGTAAAAACAAGAGTGAAAAAAACAAATCGCCACTGCTGCAACTTACACCTATGAATGCGATATATGGCAATAAAACACAGACAGAAGCAACCAATTTTCCACTTACTACCATTAATTAAGAAATGCCTTTTAGGCAGCGCATTCAGCACAGCTGTTGAATACAATGGTGTGGTGAATCTTGATGGTGAATCCTCCTTTCTTCAGCCTCAAAGCCAAAAAGGACTCTCATGTCTCGTGGAGCGGAGTTCTGATCGTTCTGGATGCGCAGACCATTTCACGTTGGAGACCATCAGAGACTCCTCCAGCAGCTTATACTCAAACCATGAAAAACCATAACCCAGCAGGACTTTTCTCATTGCTTACAGGTAGTAAATAATTTGCAAATTTTTATGGCTAAATCAGTGGTTCGGTTTGAAATTAAAACCATCAGATACAGGACTAGCTTACTAAGGAAAAAGGAGTAGTAGGCGACACACTAAGTCTTCAAAATATCCTCTTCAAGGCTGTGAAATACCATCCTTTTTTATTACTTGGTTACTTCATTTATAAGAAAGGGAATACTTGCAATTTGGAGGAGCATAGATACCTAAACACTTAAAATCTATGAAACTCTTCAACTATGATAAAAACCCTTGAATTTTATACATGCTGGTTTACCACCTATTACCTAAATACTAATTATATTAGCAATTTGCTCACCACATAGCCATGAAAACTATGATTTTACATATGAATACTTGCTCTGAGAAGTCATAAATCAACAGAAACACAGGTTTACAAATTTTCAATTTTGAAATTTATTTAGAACTCAGGGGTTAAGTGTGATAAGTTTCCAATTGTCTGATATAGCATACCCATGTCACTATCACGGAAATTGCACTAATTCCCTCTGCCCCCCTCCCTCCTAGAAATCTGCAGGTTAGTTTTCTTAACAGCCGGTGGTTTTGCAAATAGTGCGCTCTAGGACACTACTGCCTTTCCTGAGTGTTCAAAGGTACTGTATGATACATTAAGCTGAAGGAAAACCAACAAAATTATCATTCAGAACTAAACCAGCTATTTTACCTTACTGCTGAAGTACAGAATCATGAAATGCAATGTATTTTAACAGGAGATTGCTTTGGAATGCTTAAAAAGGGGCGGGGGAACACCTTTTAAAAAAAATTACATCCTTTTTACTGTTTTAAACTAAATTATTTTTAACTTCAAGTCATTAACCTCAAGACCATTAAAAATGCCCAAAGAACTTAAGACTTGCTCAGACTGAAATGTAGTTGGGACTAAAATACCCATGTTGGTATTCCTTGACCTTTTAGGGTATTCCTAGTGGCTCTAACAAAAGCAGCATAACAGGGTATCTCTGGTTTGTGTTTATCTTTTTAATGCTCTTGAAAGAGAGTTACTAACAGCACTGACCAGAGTGCTTAGACACAGGATTTCAGACAATTGCCTTGCAATGCACTTCAGCTTTATCGTGCAAAACCAATCTAGTCATAAACATCCCCACATTAAACACAATAAATTGTGCCAAAGTATGTGATATGAATAAATGTCAGCTAATCTATCAACACGTTGACAAATGTCAGCTTGTCTGTCAGGCATTGTTCAAGCCCAGAGTAAAACTTCATTTGTCAGAACTGAACTCCTCCATGGGCAGACTGCATAGTCTATGTAAGTTACCAGCTTTTGTCCAGAAAAATCTCTTCAAAGATGTACTTACACTGGCAAATAGGTTTAGATCAGTTTCATCCCCCTAAATTCACCATTAGTTAACACATCAATAAAGAGGTCCCACCATCTGTCAGTGGGATTTTTCCATGAAAGACCACAACCATTTCTTGATCCAAACAAAGCTGAAGCAGTGGCAGCTGATGGAAGTGCTAGCTACATTGTTCTTGCATCATTTTTCGTGATGCACTAGATTTATTCTCAGTTATAGATGATTTTGTCAGAAGGGTTCTTCAAGCTGCGGCTGAACAAAAAGCAACTTCTTGTCTCAAGTTTAATTTTTTTTTCCTTTACGGAAACTTGTTTTGAACAAAGAACTGGTAGTATAGGCAATTACCATCAGGAACTACCAAGAAGATGATGCGTTCCACTCTAGTATTATGTCAGTGGCTTGCCAATCCTTTTCCCCTAAAATATTTGTAAAAACACTGGAAATATCTATGAAATTTATAAAACAGCTCCTTAAACATCTGCTTAATGCCCTTTCCCTCAAATATAAAAGACCTCCACATTTCAGGGTCTTTTTCTGTGGATGCTAGGAAGAGCTTGAGGAAGAGGTAAAAGATAGGATAACTGCTATCTTTTCAGTTGCTATGTTACAAAATTTAAATGATTACTACTCTAAAGATTAAATACAGACTTTACATAACCAATCACAACAATGGAAATAAACCATAACTGAAACCATATAAAAATCCATATCAGGTCAAGTGACAGTACATTAAGAATAGCCTTATATGTTATACAGAAGATAATATACACAGACTGTAACAGTTATTTTTCCCCTTAAAAGCCACTGTCTGTAGGATCACAATCTTACTGTACAGACAAGTGACTGAATATTTGTAATTATTATAAGGGAAAATTTAGGTTCTAAAAGAAAATGTATCAAGTACACCTTTACGCATGTCTATGCTATGATTTAAATTAAAAGCCTTAAGCATTCTCCTACATACTCCATTTTCAACCAAAATGGAGTATCACTGTCAGTATACAAACCTCAGAGAGGGCACTTCTAATCTAGTTAGTAGGACTACGCTAAAGGACAGCTGCCTTACAAAGGAGATTAAGTTCAGATGTTTAGAAACTTTAACAATAAGAGAAAGTTAGAAACCCTAAACAGCTACTCATATTTAACTATAATAACCTTTTAGAGAGCATTAGACTAAACTCCAATATTTTCTGTGGTCATTGTATTAAAAGAAGGTTCTACCACACCTAAAGGATAAGGCATAGCCATCTACTAATTGGCATATCTGTTTATTTGTCTCAGTTTCTGAAAAGGTCCTTATTTGTGTAAGCAGCAAAACAAACTTCAACTGAATGATTGCTATATGCAAAAGGACTGAAGGCAATTGCCTCTGCAGTGAACTTTACAGTTCTCAACAGCACACACGCAACATGCTATCTGAAAAAAGTTACTAACTGAACTACATGTATTAAATACTGAAAAAAGTTTTACATTTTTTATTATAATTTATTTTATTTAACAATCTAAGAAGTTTGCAGCCATCAGAAGTTCCAGTGCAATTTCAGGTGCAATTGGGAATTCAGGAATCTCCGTAGAGCTGTTAGTATAGCGGACCTTGTAGGTGAAATACATGCATACTTTGGATAGGACATGGGATGGGATCTCTCTAAAATTCACCTCATTTGTTTCATTTTCTGCAAACTGTCCTGTAGAAAAAAAAACAACGAAACAAACACCAAACCAAAAATCAGAATCTCAATTCACTGCAAAATGGAATGTTTTACCACACTAATACAACACATTCTAAATAGATTCGCAGAAGTTCCATATTGCTGGGTATTAGATTCTTCAATGTAAAGCTGGATGGGCCACATTCACAGACCTCAATATTAGGGTCACTTGCATGACAACATGTTTATTTTGGCTACAGCCTACTAACAATATTCTGAACAACTACATCAGAAATTTAGGTTTAATTCTGATGCTTGCTCGATAGGTGCTCTAAAATTGTAGTGTGCTCAGCTCTAAAGGTCACAGTAACAACGTTTACAAAAAAACCCCACAACCAACAAACCACCAACAGAAGCATCAATCCAAATTTCTAGCTCTCTTACCCAAGCAAAAAAAATGGTTTATAGATGTTCTATATCTGCACATGCACACTTATTAGTAGCCCCTTCTGTAATCCCACTAGCTTTGAATTTCTCAGAGAGTTTCAGGCAAATTTGATAGAGGGTTGAAACCTCAAAGATGCATTAACTTGGTAAGCTGTGAAACAGGCAGGCAGGAGGGATGGGGAAGCCCTAGTTGTACTGGAGGAAAGGTTACATAAAGGATAAAGTACAAGTTTATCCTTATTAGACATTGAGGAATTTATCCAAAGCTCAAATCTCAAAACACAAGTGTATTTGAAATTAGCTTTCTTTAGTGCCTGTGAGGATGGAACTTGGATGATATGAAGTCATTCTGTAGTTAGTCTCACAGCCTTTCTACTGTTATCTTTCTCCCTCTCTTCCTCATCTCTCTAGACTTTCAACTCATTAAGCTGAAAGACAATATAAAACACACTAACATGTACTCCATATTTATGGGAGACCTAGCAAGGTTTGGTTCCCACTATTTCTATAGAAATCCTCTTCTAACTACAAAGCAGAGCTATTTACTAATGTCTATACACATTTGTGTAGAAATACCTGCATGCACTGAAGCTAATCTGTCTTGAATTCTAGCACAGGAACAGTAGGAAGCAACAGGAGAAACGCTAGCATATTAGCAATGTCACAGTACTGAAATAGAGAACACTTACACATCAGTAAAATTATGACCTACTGAAGTAGACAGCAAGAGTACTTTTCTTTTTGAACCCATTTATCTTGCTAGTTTTTATACAAAATGTTACTGAATGCTGACTCCTTAGCCCTCTAAGCAGGCTACTTCACCTTTTACGTCTTCACTTTGTGGAACAAATGCAGAGCAGGTCTTGTAACTACTCTTACATGTCTGGGAGTGACATGGAGTGGATCAGACACCACAGATCTGCTACATTTTTCAAATGCAGCCATTACAATGGTATTTAGCAGAATATTAAGCTATTTTAATTGCTCAGCTTGCCCAACTATTACTAAGTAATTTAAAAATATATTAAGCAAATGGATCTCTCCACTAATCCCCCTCACCAGAATTGAAAAGACAATATAAGAATAACCATATTCAGACCAGAGTTCCATGTAGCCTTCTGCTCATCACTCGACCAAAGGTTGAGGGTACAGAAGAGGGAAAGCACACATGTTAACTTCTCCTTGTTTGCTCCTCCACCCTTTCAGTCTTCAAGGATTAGTTCAGACACTTCTTAGCACAAAGGTAGTCTCATATATTCAGTAACACATAAGGTCCTTTCCTCCTCTAAGTTTATCAACCCTCCTCTCAAACTTAAGATCACTTTTTTCATTAAGCTCAGGAACTCCTTGCCATAGGATCTTGTAAATATGTTGTAGCCTAAACCACAGCAGGCAGCTAGAGCACCACACAGATGCTTGCTCACTTCCCCCACAGTGGGATAATGGAAGAGGAAAGGAAGAGTAAAACCAAGAAAACTCATGGGTTGAGATAAAAAAATTGTTTAATAAGTGAAAGACAAGTGGAAGAAGAGAAAGAAAACCAAATAAAACTGATGCGAAGGTAATCACTCACCACCTCCCATGGGTAGCCTGATGCCCAGCCAGTTCCCAACCAAAAGGTGGCTAACCTCCCTAAGACCCCCTCTCCTTTTTTACTTCTCAGCATGACATTACATGGCATGGAATAGCTCTTTGGTTAGTTCGGGTCACCTGCCTAGTTGCGTTCCATTCCAACGTCTTGTATGCACCCCTGTCTATTCACCGGGTGAGGGGCAAGAGTGAGAAACAGAGAAGACCTTGACACTGTACTGTGCAAACAACTGTTCAGCAACAGCTAAAACACTGGTGTACTACCAGCCATTACCATTGTTTTGGTCACAAATCTAAAACACAGAACCGTATGACCCGCTATGAAGAAAGTGAACTCCATCCCAGCCACCCCAGCAAAGAATACTAAAAGTTCCACTATGGAGATGGCAATGAAGAACTACCAACTCTTTTTTTGTTTTGAACTTGACTACTACATGTTTCATGTAATATCCTCAAGTTCTCATAACACAGGAAACTAGTAGTACTAATACTGTAAGATCGCTAACCATCCAAAAATGAAAACAAAGGACATGACAGTACTAAATCTTTTGTACTTACCTGGTCCACTCAACATAGCTTTTATTGTTCCTGATGTTAATGCATGCTCTCTTTTTACAATGAACTCATGGCCATCGGAGGATATTAACTTCACATACATAGCATCTGGGCCCTCACACCCACCGTATGTTTTCTCTTCTCCATCTATAATGGAAAACAGATAAATAGTTTCAGAACACAATGACTGATTCACATCACTAAGAATGCAAGCTGCAGTCTCTTCTATGACTAGGTTTGCAGACAGAAGAACCCAATACAACCAGAAATGAGACAGAAGCATTTTGCATATTTGAAGACAACTTCTCTGAAGCGCTCAGCAATCTGTTTTAAAGTAAGAATTTGAAAAAGTAAGAATTTTTTAATTAACATGTGTCTTCTCTCATTTGTCCATCACCAAATTCTGACACTATTTCTAAAATCTATGTAGGGATGAAATTTTCCTTTAGACATTCACAGGTGAATTGAACATCCTATTGCTTTCTTCCATAAGGCTACTGTCATGTTTATCATACTAGTACTCACTATGAGTTAGCTAAATACATATCTAATATTTAAAAATACAGACAGCAAGGAAAAAAGAGCTTTCTGAAGCACAGGTAAGAATAAAAGCGGTCAGTATTCCTGTACTGAAGAAATGACATGAAATAGGATTCCTCCCCACTGCCCAGGCAGACCCAGAACCATACAGTGTTAGTGCACACCCCTGTTATGACCTTTGGTGGAAGACAGGGAAAGTGCAAAAGCACAAAACCAAAGGAAATTTGGAAAATTCTCCCCACAGCAATTTTCAGTGTTTTTTCCATTTCCCTTCTCCCTTCTGTCTCACTATATACTCGCTCTCTACTTTGTTTCTCCATAACCCTTATCCTCCTTCTCTTTGCTCATTCATTTATTATCTCCTAACATCACTACCTTTGAAAAAAAAAAAAACAACATTACTGTTGCCACCACTGCACTGTTCATGCTGTGTAGTCTTAATGTTTTCCCCATCTTGTCTATTTAGGCAGCACACATGCTCTCTGGGGTAGGAATCACTGACTCCTTTGTGCCTCTATAATGCTCAGCACTATAGGACACCATCACACCAAGGAGACTGTCTCTGCAGTTGGTCTTTGTAATGTGTAAACTCTTAAGTAATAAAGACTGCAGTAATATTAAAATATTGGGGGGGGGGGGGTAGAGTATAAAACCCCCCGACCCCACTAAATACACAATCCCTATCAAATTACAACTGGAAAGTTAATGCCTTCTTTCAAATACTGTATCTTCTGAGAGACTAATACAGCAAGTATTGCTAGAATTCCATTAAAATATACTTGAATTTGACACTGCACATAAAACTTGATTTTCAGAACAGTATTAATCTTGACAGAAAGTTAAAAATTAAAGTTTTGGAAGTTCTTCCAGACTGGAAAAGTACAACAGAATAGATCTGTATACTTGTAGAAAAGTAATATACTACCAGTATTTCATGACGATATGCAGAACTATAGAAAACAAAACAGATATAGACTACAAACTTGACATTAGATTGTTAGTGTTGTTTCTCCTTCTGATAAAACAAAGAATAGAAATTATATTAATTATATTGAAAAAGTACCTTGCATTGTATCTAGCGTTATAGCAAACACAATGTTCCCCCAATCAAGTAAATTGCTTTGTGAATTTGAAGTTAAAATTGAATTACCATGTAGTTACTGCCAACTTTAATAAAGTACTGCCAGTGCCAAACATGCTAGAAATACATTCACAAAAAGTATAGATAAACGCAGAATCTGTGCAATCATGTTTCATTAACTGGTCATATGTAGCGGCAGATGCAACAGTTTCAGGCATTTAGTCAGATCACATACACAATGTAATTGATCAGAAATCAGTCCTTATTATGATCTCTTAACTAGAATTCAACAGGCTGAGCTTCATTAACAAACAAACAAAAATATTTAAAACAGTACATAGCGAAATTTTATTGTTCACTATCTAAAAGTTTAGTGCTATAAAAGCCTAAAGGCATCCTATTTTAGCATGTACATTTTCAGCACTATGCATATTAAGCAAGTGAAATTTATTGTTAAATAGATGCACTCTGAACAAGTCTTCGACAAATGAACAGTCACTTGAAAAAATCCTCCTGAAAAACATTTGCAGGAAGTTCCATTAACTTTTGAGGCTACAAGAGTGACAAGATCAACATTTAAAATCTTACAATCTACCTCCTCTACCGATGTAAGAGAGAAAATGCTTCACATTATAGGAAACAGAAAAAACCCCCTAAGATGAACTTACCCATTCTCTTCTTATAAAAAAAATTTGTTTCTTTTCAACAGCAGCTTTTGCAATAGGAGCGTCTGAAAAAACACAAGTGGCAATATTTTCAGTCAGTAGCACAATTTCTTAAGCCAGCTTTAGTTATTAGACTTTATATTATCATAAACACTCTTCAGAAATGAGTATGATGATACACAGCATGCAACGTTGATAAGCATTACGTTCTGAAAACATCAAGTTTTGAAACTTATCTTTGCTGTCCAGAGATCCCTACCACATTAAAGAATCTCTAAATTTTAGCTTAATTTGTGAAGAAGTTGTTCCCCTAAGCTTTTTGAAGACCCTTGACTATAAAATCAGACTTATTTCAAGAGCCTTATGACTTTTATCACTACGGACACCATGCATGCAATGGTATTGGGGGGCTAAAGGCACTCAAGAGACTGAATGGCTTGTTTACAGAAAAAAGTCAAAGAACAGTTCACTATGCTGTGAATAGAGGAGTGGTGGTCTTGCCATTGAGAGGGACCTTGACAAGCTGGAGACAGGGGCCAACAGGAAACCTAGGAAGTTCATCAAAGGGAAATGCGAACCCCTGCACCTTAGGAAGAATTACCCCAGCTATCAGTACCAGCTGGAGGCCAACCAGCTGGAAAGCAGCTTTTCAGAAGAAGACCTGGAGGTGCTGGTGGACACCACACTGAACATGAGCCAGCAACGTGCCTTTGCAGCAAAGGCAGCCAACAGCACCCTAATCTGTATTAGGACTGTTGCCAGCAGGGGATCCTGCATCCCCACTCAGCACTAGTGGGACACCTCTGGAGTGCTGGTTCCAGCTCTGGGCTCCCCAGTACATGCCAGACTAAATCCAGTCCTGCGAAGGGCCACAAACATGACCGAGGGATTGCAGCACCTGTCATATGAAGAGAGGCTGAGAGAACTGGGGTTGTTTAGGCTGGAGAAGAGAAGGCTCAGGGATCAGTCTAATCAGTGTGCGCTAAATACCTGGCCTCCAACCTGTCCTTCCCAGAAGACTGACAGTTCCTGACAGCCACCAATGTCACCCAGATTGCCCACTTCAGACATTTAATGTAGGTATTCACAGGGTAAGTTAACCAGGAGCTTTCGTAACTTATAAATTGACATCCAACTTGCTGCATATGTATTTCGCCATGTAAATGAATCCAAAGAGTTAGGGAAATGGAAGTACTTGTTTGCAAAACAAATCTGGTATGTTCCGATACAACATATATTTCTTCACACTGAACTGCATCTCTGCTGTGGAAAAGAAAACTTTGGGAGAGAAATTCCACCCACCCACCTGCTGTCTTAAAATTCCTTTCACGTCAACAGCTACTCTCCAAACATTAACCCAGTACAAATCAATGAACTACTGTTGTGTGCCCACAGCTTCAGGAAAGCAACACCAGTGATTCTGGGTGGTTTTCCAGCCGATATCCAGGGTCAAGGGCAGCAAAGAGACTGTTAAGAATTCTGACAATTCATGTTGTTGCTTCAAAAAGCCAGGAGCAACAGCAGAGGCACGAACTACGATTACTCATTAGAGAAGGACCCCAGAGCAGGAGGTGTGAAAAACCAGAAGAGAGACCAGTCCCCCCACTCACTCCCTCCTATGTTTCTGGTAAAAGCTTAGCAAACAATTTAAGTAAGTTGAGAGCGCTGCAAGATTCGGAGGAAGTTTTACAGAGATCTCTGCATCTCTTCAGAAGACGCAGCTCTTTGCTATTGCCAATAGCTTCGCTTCTCAACAGCACTTTGGTACTGATTTGTTCCACCTCCCTTTTTACATAACTACAAATATGAAATAGTTTGAATTTTTCCTCAAGCTTTCACAAGAAGGCATTTTGTTATGTACACCTAATCAAACTACACATGCATAACCAATAGTTTTTAGTTGTCTGAGGAGAACTGAGCAAAAGGTATCCTCCACTTAAATTGTTGTCTTTGAAAATTACCCCAACTTTACAGAAATATCTTATAAAATATTTTCCTTCCCCACTGGTAAAAGGAACATCTTCACTTTTGCAGGTGAAAAGTTTCTGAATATAAGGCACAATCAAGAATGCCCTTTGAGAGTTAATTTGTGTATGCTGTCATAGAGATACATTATTATCGAATGTTAAATGCCTTTGCCATTTTCAATAATTCCAGGAACTCATCCAAGAAAATTACATTTGGGTGCTGGAACAGTTGTGGCACAAAACTCATGGGATCTTTCACCCTATTTCAACAATTTTGCTTGAAATCAAGCATCTTACTGAAGAGTATCTGTTGCTCAGGAACTGAAGGGATACCTTACATTACTACTTCTACTTTGCAGAAGAGGATCACTTGTGCTACCTCTTTCTCTAGCCACAAAACCCTTCCCTACAGTCCAAAAAGAGTAGTGAAATCTCTTAAGACTTATAAATAATAATAATGAAAAAACACAGAAGAAGTGATACTATTTTGTGGAGGTACTGGTGACAATAAAATGTGCCTTGGTTTCTAATAGAAATAATGCCACTAAATACAGGAATAAATACAGGCTAGTTAGTGGGAGTGCAAATATATTAACACCTTGCAAGGTAAAAGCATAACTTGAGGAGGCTAATACACTGAAGCTGGGGAAATGAAAATATGTCTACACTAAAACATTAGAGCTGTCCCAAAAAATTGCAATGAGCAATTTAATAAAATCCAATGAAATGTGTTATCATATGCTTAGAGAGAAAAAAACCCAACACAGTAGTTAACACTTAAAGAAGAAAAAAATTATCAGGGTCATGGTCTGAATTCAATTGTATTAAAACAGAAAACAGGATAAAAATGCAGTAAGCGTTAGCAGATTTAGGACATGCTGGACTAATCTAATACTGAAAAAATGAATCAGTCATTTCCTTGAAAAAAGGAAACTCACACAAGATGCAACCTGGGCTCTGTAAATTATCTGAGATTAAATAAATGGGATAAGAGGGTAATCTGAAAGTGAGAAAGAAGTTTTCTACAAGAATACAGTATGATGTTGCAAACATGGAAAAACTGTACTAGAAAACAACTACTAGTTTCTCAAAAAATTATATCCAACTTTTTTTTTTTTAAACAATGCTGCCAGAAAAGAATAGGCAGATTTTGATGAGACAGAAGTGGAAAGCACTGCAACAAAAGGGGAATAGAGTATCACACACACAAGTGACTGTTCTTGAAAAAAATGGCATACTAGAAGCCAGAGGAAATAAAATCATATGAAATGCAAAACTCCTGCACATAGGGACAGATTCAAGCTTCTTTTGTGTAGTCAGGGCTTGTTACTTGGGAGTATAGTAATTCTGTGGTCAACTATAAACTGATGCAGTCCTGTAGGGTCAAAAAAAAAGGGGGAGGGGCCTTCTATGAATTCCTTTGCCATAGGCATAGGGAAATATGAACTCTGTTGCACATGAGCAACAACTTGTCTGGAATCCCACACATAATTCTGAATTCCTGTTTTCAAGAAAAAGGAGTTCTAATTACAAGAACTATAGAAAGGAGCTACTATTGTGACCAAAGAGTCTGTTGTATAGAAGAAAAATTAGTCTTGCTTACCCAGCTTAGCAAAATAAAAATGGAATGAAGATAAATATAACAATTCATTAAAATGATAAACATCAAAAGGGGAGAAGTATGCCAACATTATTCCTCAGTTCAAGTCCAACAAATGAATATAAACTAAAAAAAAGAATGAAATTTGTACTGCTATTCCAGAATCCAGGTTTGGTTCTGAAGATAGAACAAAACTAACATTCTATTCCCAAAAGTGAAAGATGCAGAAAGCCTACCTGCTTTAAAGAAAAAGACATCATACATTCCATTACACTATGAGAGTTGGGTTTCACTCAGTTTCTATTCTGATGTAACAATGTGTCATTTCAAAAAAACCCCAAAAACTAAGAAGATAATCGTGAATACTATTAGGAGTATAGATTTACTCTTTGCAAAATATTGACAGCAGAGAGCACAGAAAGATCAGAGTCAATGCAACAAAAGAGAGAAGAAAAGAAAAACAAGAAACCTGAAAAAACTAAAAAAGCAATAAAAATGTGTCATCATCTATTGGTTCCTCTTCTGGATCAAGAAGTGTTTAGTGTTTCATGACACTTTATGAAGATTAGAACATACCATAGTTCAAAATTACTATTTTGTGAAAAGTACCTTCTTCCCAAGAACCACACTCAAGTTATCCGAGACAGTATTAACATGATCTTGTGCAAGCCACATCTTATTTCTTCAGTCAACTATCTTATTGGTTCATATGTTTACAGACAAGTAAGTGGGAAGAGCAGAAGAAATATACTGAAAAACTGTCACAGAAAACATGCAGTGTTTTATTTATTTTATTTATCAAGAAAAATTGGTTTGTTATTTAACATCCCCCAAAACAAGAAAAAAATGCACACAGAAATTAGACAGATGAAGGATGTCAAAATCCCTGCCACACGCAAGTTATCGCTTTTGCATATAGTAAAAGGAGTGTGGGGGGAAATTTTCTGCACAAAAATAGGGTTTTTAAAATGATAATTGCATGCCCTTGAGTATCAAATAATAGGTTAAAAACAGGAAAGTCAAGTGACCTGGTATGTTCTCTTACCAGAAATTCTTTTCTTACAGTGTATTTTCCAATACACTATTTATTGCAAAACATGCCACATTTTCCTTCTCTATAATGAAAACAATATAAATGACAACATTTGCCAAGACAACATGAAGAAAGATGTGGTGAGATTTCTGAAGATGCCTGCTAACTCCCTATATTTTAATTACTTTTCTACATTTTATAGCTGCCCTGTCTGACTTCACCAAGACAACACCAATGCAGCAGCAGAGAACAATCCAAATTTTCTGAACACTCAAACATTTGCCTTTCTTATTATGTATTTCTGACCTGACTATTTCAGACTCCCACAAAGAATCATTAATTTTTGTTGAAGTACATTCACGATTCCATTTCCCCTTCAAGAAGCTTATGTGGCATTACCAATTCGGTAAGCTCAGCTCCCTGCCTTTAATCTCAAAAAAGCACATATATTAGGTATCATTGTTCTCC